TATTTTTGTTAACAACCAAAAAATCAAAAAAAATGGAAGAGGCCCTAAAAAAAAAAAAAAAAAAAGAAAAAGAAAAGTCAAGAGTGAGTACCTCCGATTTTCCTGCTAGTTTTCCAAGAATATCTTCCAAGTTTGAGATGCGCAGCTCCTGTTCTTGGTGGAGAGTCAGATAGTCAGTCTTAAAAAGAAAATGAATGAACAAATGGTAAAAAAAAAGAAGTTAAGTAACAGAAGCATGGCAAGTTAGGTCACATTATTTCTATACAGAATATCCAAAAATCAGAGACTATTTGGCAGCACCTTGGCTTAGCATCCTGGAGAGAGTAATCCATAATTAGGTCTTTCCCTTCACAGCTAACTTTAGAGACAAACCTGTCAAACAGTTTTTCCTGTACATGAGAGTATCAGTAAGTCCTACACCTATCAGAAAAACCACCCAGTAGAAAGCAAATCTATTATTATTCAATCAACCAATATTCATTAGGTGCCCAGCGCTTAAGGTAAGATAACATGAATAGAGGTACACTGCAGCCTACTGCCTCCCAATCATCCCATATTCATATGAAATACATGACATGCAAACATTTGTCAAGAGTAAGCCATTGGAATTATTTTCCCAGAATACCTGATAATATCCTTCACAACACAGTCTATCATGTGATTAAAATAATCTCTTAGGTAGTTGAGTAGGGTACTCTTTTGGCTCAGGAGGGCTGTGGGCCACAAGAACATCCGCTGAGGGAGCTTGTCCCCACCAGCTAACTGTGGGAGGGCAGCAGTGAGTTCAATGTATTCCCATCCATTTCTTCAGCAATCCTTAGAAGGCTAAAATTATGGAAAGAGTATGAGATGTGCTCCCCAGGAAGGTCCTGAAGAATCGGGGCCAATTACCAATCCAAGGGTGATGACACAGGTGTGAAGCTGGACAGGCAAGAAAGGCCCTGCGTGTCTGGATGGTGGAGGCCGGGGCAGAGGACGGAGGCGGCGGCAGCCAATCCTCATCATGGGAACGTCACTTGCTAATCATGCCCCCTCTCATTCCCCAAAATACAACCACAACTTCCCATAAGATACAAGATTAAAAACAAGATGAACTGGAGCAAAGGGATAAAGGCCAGCTGAAAGATCACCCGGGTGCTCTATGCAGGAAGGTCAGCCACAAAACTCCGCTGTGTGCTGCCTTCCCGACAGGAGCCTCACCGTCTCCAGTTGCACAGCCCAACAAGACTCTGCTATAATGCAAACCGCATCTGAGCTATCCCACACAGGGCCACCAGCCCCATGCCACTGAGCCCTTAGGTTAGCTAGTGTAGCTAAGTAACTAAACAGTATTTAGTTTTAATTTATTAAGTTTACCTTAGCCACATGCAACTAGTGGCACACTCTGTGGGACAATGTGGACACATAAGATAAATTACATGCCAGCAGCTAAGGGAAAGATAACCAACTGGCTAGATCATTTAACTGGAACGCTTAACACTAGTGAGTGGTTGCTTCAGGAGGAGGTGGGATTTGGTCCTGCATCCTGGTCACCATTGTGATCATACCTGTTTACAGACAATGCTGGAATGTGGCATAAGAAGAGTGGGCTAACCCTGTACTAAGCTAATGTAATTTAGAAGCTAATTTTAAGATGAACCCAGGCTGCAAAGAATTTAGTTTATAGGACACCAGGCAAACTGATTTTTTTTTTTTAACTTTCTTTGTAAGACAGAGCAAGTAAGCCTCAACTAAAATTGGCAGCTCACCACTATCTTTTTTTTAAACATTTCATTGTGCTCATCATCCCTGTGGTAGGTGAGAACATCTCAGGCTGCTTCTACTACGAAATGCTTTCAAACCAATATGTTTCCTGGTCATTTGATGCTCATACAAATGTCATGCCCACAGGGATACAGTCCTGCCACCTAGAGGACTCCAGCTGCTGTCTCATTCTGAGCCGGCACCTACACGATGGGCTAGCTCCCACCCTTCCTATTGTTCTGCCCTGTCTGGGAAGAAATAGCAAGGTTCAGATTTATCTCTTGTGACCCTTTCCACCTATAAAGCTGGTAAGTGGTCAACAGGAACAGAACAACCATAACTGTGGTAACTGGATCTCTCTGAAAACATCTTAACTTTGTGGCTGAGGAACTTAAAACAAGCAACAATGCAGGACACAAGTCCTCTGGGCAGATGTGGAGTTCCTGGTGGGCCCACAGGCACCGGAGAAGGTGTGCCCACACCCACAGTCTCAGCACCCCGGCTCTGCGGTGGCCATGGACATGCCTCCAGGCAAGTCAAAGTCACAACAGCATTCCCTTGGCACATACTCCCCTGGCCCTGATCCCTACCAAGCATCAGAGGGCAGTGAGTTAAACGAGAAATGTCTGTGGGCACTGGAGAACGCTGGCCCTCGCTGGCCGAGGGTGAGGTGGTGGGAGCACTGAACCAGAGCACAGCCTGGTCAGGGGAGCAGCATTCAACCTGAGACCAAGTCCAGGTGGGGCTCAGCAGAGAAGCCTGGTCTGGACCAAGTCCAGGCGGGGCTCAGCAGAGAAGCAGGTCTAGTGGGGGGCTTCAGAAAGAGGAGTCAGGCTTGCTCAGGAGCACAGGGGGACCAGGCTGTGTGGGGGGCCGTGGGGAGTCCTTAGGGGTCCCCAGGCTGGAGGCTGATAAGACACCAGCCAGGGACAGTGGAGGGAGCCAGGGGTCACTCTTGGACCATGGCATACACAGATGGGTGGGCAGTGGGCTCCTGACTGAAACAAGAAACATCAGGAAGACGCATTTTGTTGAAATAAGGGGCAAAACAGAACTTAAAGATTTCAGTTCAAAAAATGTAAGTCAAACCATTTTAGAACTTAAGAAATAAACATCAGTAGTACAAAAAATGGACTGACAATTCTTTCCTTGAAAACACTAAACAGAGGAGGCATGTATATATAGCCCTATAGTCCCATATAGAATAGCAGCTACTCTTAGCTATTTCATAATTCTGAAGTATTTTCTATCACAGATTTGAACTTTCCCAATCAGCTGATAGGAAATGCAAAAATCACATCAGAGCTGACAGTACCTGTAAAATTTCACTGAATTATGTTCAATCCACTTTTAGATTAAAATGCAAGCTGCAGTGCCACAGGTGTACTCTCAGACCCAAACAGGGCACTAGCCCTGGGGAGCTGCCACGGTCCACAGGCCCAAGCCCCCTCGGCGTGTGCTGCTCCCACAGTGGAACACCATGCCACTGCTCCTCCAGCAGCCATCCTACCCTTTGCCCACAAAAGGGAAACAAACCCCAGGAGTGCCTGGCATTACCTGGAAGCCTGGGAGCCCACCGGCATGCGTCTCCAGCAAGTGCTGTGTCACCACACTCCTAACCAGGGACAGCACCCCTCCACCACTGACCATCTGGTCCACCTGGGCTTGTAGTTTCTGAAGCAAAACTGTCAGTTCTCTCAGCTTCTTGTCATGGCTGTGACACTGTCCAGACAAAGATGTCACCTGTCTTTCTACGTCACTCATCCAATGCCAGCCAAAAGCCTCCTCACCCTAGAACAGCAAGAAGTTCCAATGGCCATGAAAATGAGGAATTCAACAGAGCCTTAAGTGCAACACAGAATGTCACAGCAAACTGCGGGCTGCAGGGCAGTGGACACGCTCGGGCAGAGGAAGTGCTTCTCATTGGGGTTCCTTACACAGCACACTGCACTGTTTTATTTTCTTCTTTATACTTCCTGCATTTTCCTTAGTAATGAATACTATTATTTTTTAATTAGAATTCACTGAACGATGAGATACTTTATGCATTATTTGAAGTATTTCAGAACATTTAAGGAGCTGCAAGGCTTGCTTGTTGGACAATTAAAAATATCCTCTAAAACAGGGCACCCAACTGCACCGCCCTGTTCACAACACGAGACTCACTGGCAAGCACAGACTTTCAAGGCCAGGTGGGAGTGCTCTCAGCTAGTTACCTCCAGAGGCCGGTCCCGGTGAGAAGCCTCGGGCATGAGCATGGTCTCTGGGTCGTCTGCCCTCTGTGTTCTGTTCCTGTGTGTCCAGCTTGACACAGGCAGGAATGACACGTCTGCTGAGCCCCACAAGGAAAGACCTGCCCCTGGAAGGAGGGAGAGCAACTGCACAGACAGGCATGCGCTGCTCTAAGGCGCAGTAAGTGTTCAATTTCACCACTGGAGCACACACACAGGCATGGAGCACCTGCCATCTGAGGCAAGGAAGTCAGACTACTTACCTACTAAAAGCAACAGTGGAAAGAGCAAGATTAGACACTTGCAAATAGGTCGAAGGCACCTGGAATAAAAAGAGAAACATTTGACTTGACAAAGAAAATGGTAGGGTTCACCATATTTTACCTCTCTAGATAATTTTATACATTGCCCTGCTGTTTTAAAATGGAGTCCCCGGTACTGCACATAGAGTCACTCGTTTATCCACAAGGTGCAGCTACACCCACAGAAGAGCCTGCCTGTAGATGGTGTCTCCTGGCCCACACCAACTATCAAAAGTGACCACTGTCGCTGCTCATGGCCCATGCCAGGTGCCAGGGGAGGGCACCAGGGGCCTCCATCACCCACTGCTGTACACCCTTCCAGCTGTCACTTCACCCCTGCACACTGCTGTTTTAAGAAATGACACCTGCCTTTCCTTTCTCACAGGAGTGGTATGAAACATCACCTAGGAATATGAAAGCACTTTGCAAACTATAAAATGAAATGTAAGTGCAAAACATAATATACCAAACTACAAAAACTGTATAAATACAAGCTAAGTCATTATAAAACAATAAATTAAATGATATCCTGCAATTAGCTCAAAATTAGTTCTTTAAATATCAAGCTGACTCTTGGTATCCATTTCCTTACCTTATAAGAAGAAACACATTCAGCCAAGAAATCAAAGTAACAAACTGGTACCATCCAATCCCTAGCCACCAGTATATTCCAGAGGCTGCCTTCCCTAAAAGAGAAAACACCAAACATTCTAAGGAAATGTTTTTAGGAAAACTAAACTCCTAAATGGACTGTTGTTGTGAAAGTCAAGTTAAAAGCACAGAGATGTTTCCTAATCAATATTTTGAGGGCTATCAATGTGAAATTAGGGAAGAAGTATGTTAAGACCATAGTCATCATGGCAGGAATATCCATACACTCAAACACAGGCCACAATGCAACATAAAATGCTAAGCCATAGGACAATTATAAATGCAGAAACGCCAAATGCATACATTCTCGACTACAGTGAAATCAAGCAGCTTGTCTTACACGAACCCAATATACCAGAGGAACAATAGTCATGCAACCAGAAGCATACTTGTTAGCATTTCTTAAGTAATAAAAATGAAAAATTTGCATGAGGGATCAAGGCATGTAACCCTAAAATGATGTTGTCAGTTGGTTAAGTCAATCATTTATTGCAGGTGCTTAACTGCCAAAAGCTTGGGAATGCAAACACAGAAAACCCAAACAACCACCTGGAGCAATTGTGGCCAACCAAAGAGCTGACGAGACCGTCTCCACCACAAATCGCCCTGCAGCTCCAATCCTCCGCAGCATCTGCACAGAGTGACCTGTGGAGGGAGAGGTGTGTGCGGGGGACGCAAATACATTGGGACCCCAGTCACAGAGGTACACACAACCAGCTCCCTAGTGTGCACATTGCCAACACTCATCGTAAGTCAAGAGTAACTTGTCAAGGAAAAAAATGCCAAGCAAGATACTGAAAGTAACTTATGAAAACCCTGCTCTAAGTTCGAATATTTTCATTCTCTTCTGCCTGTAGATACTTAAATGTGAAACGCAGCTATCCATCATAAAATCCATGGGTGTAGAGGGGACCACTTTATACACGTACAGTTAGTGCCAACAGAATGTGTATGGGAAAGATAATGCAATACTTTAAAGCAAACACAACTCCAGATGCTGGCAGTTAACATGCTCTAGATGACACAGTGAGATCACTCAAGTGCCACGAGGAATAGCATCCTGAAGGCTGTACTGCCCAGTGAAAAGGCAGAGTCACAGATGTGGTACCGTAGGTGGCAGTAAGACACACCGCACATTACGTAAGGCAGAGAGCTGCTTATGAATCAATTTGGATTCTATTTTAAGAGTAATTGCTGAGAGCTACACACTTACATTTATGTGTTGACTCCTGAAACTGCTAAAATTCCAAGATGGCTGATATGCGAAGAAATATAGTTTTAAGGGGATTTAAAAAAAAAACTATTGCTTTATGTTTACTGATTAACAGTTAAGAGACCATTATTTCGAACCTCAGTTAAAAAAAAAAAAAAGCTGCCTAAAAAAAGGCACCCCTTTACCAGGTATAACGTTCTTGTTGAAGGCTTGGGACACAGACAGCAACCACCAGAACAGTGGGGACCTCCCATCATCAGGACACAGGGCGAGGCAGTCTCTTGAGGTAAGACTCCAATGCAGGAGGGTGACCAGCCCTTCCCACACTTTAATTTCACTTCAAATAAGCTACTTTTCATTCATCCAGCTTATACTAAATGCATTTACAAACAAGCTTTTCAAGAGAGATTCTCTATATGCCAAACCTAAGTAATGTTCCCCCAATAGTTTTTGATGAGCACCTGGGTCCCAAAACAGACACGGAACAACCGGCCCCCTCTGCAGTGATAAAAACAAAGCTGGAAATAACCTGCCAAGAAATGCTGCACTCCCTCAGAGGCCCCCTCAGTCATCCCCTGCAGATGGCCATAACCACCTCCTCAATCTGAACTATGACAACAGTGGGTGTTTGAAAAAATTATGTAACTCAATTATGCCAAAAAAAACCACAAGAAACAAACCAACCCAAGGTGAATGCAACCAGGCGCCTGTGACCTCTACCAAGGGTTTGGGCAAGAGCCCTGCCAGCACCTCCTAATTAGCGAGGGCCACCGCATTCACAGGCACTCTTCTGCCTTATAAGTGGCCTAGAGCTGCGACCTGCGGGGAGCCCACTCCGAAGCAGGCCATACTTACGGGAGTCCACACTCACACTGGCATGACTGTCCTCCCTGAGAGACTGGCTCACGTTCACTTGCCCATAGTCACTGGAAGGAGCTGCAACACATGCAAAAGAGGCTTAGAAAAACTCATCACCCGACTCCAGTGCTTCTTGGCCACTAATGAAGTCAGCATGGTCAGAAGACATGTGAGGCTGGCCACCTCGTTTGAGACAGCCAATGGCTTGTACAAGGCAGGTGAGTACAGGTGACAAGGCTTTGGTTAGGTAGAGAATTTAAAGTCCCACCTAGCTAAATACACGCAGCCAACACAGGACAAAGACAGGCCTGCTTAACACATTTTTGAAGCATCATTCTAAATGCTATATAAATAAATTGTTTTTGCTTTAAAAAGGTACTAAGAATCAAAAGCTGAGTACATTAACTTTTTATTTTAAAAGTGACTAAAAAATATTAAATACTGATCAACTTTCAGAAGACTGAACTATATACAGAACATATTAAAACCTTTATAAAGGCCCCTCACAGATAGAGATCCACAGAAAGCACCACGAGAAAGGCCACATTAAGGCTGCAAGAGGAGAGATGTGAAGGAAGCCACGATGGAAAAAGCAGTGTTTTCTCCACCTCAAAAGCATTATTTGGTGGAAAAAGGAGGAAAAACATTATTTAAATACCTTTTGACTCATGGCTCTTTGACTTACAGCTTTTTGATTCACGATCTTTTGATTCATAACTTTTCAATTTGTAATTTTCTGATTCATAATTGAGCTTCATTAAAACCACTCGAAAAAGTTGAACTAAGAATGATGAAAAAGATGACGAAGTGTACTTGGCCAGCCACACAATCCTATTCATGCAGAAAGAGGCACCGCCTATTAAAAAACCGTGAACACAGTTATTTCTTCCCACAAAGCCACTGTTTACTCCCCTGGTTTGTCACTTTGCCAAATTATTCTTTTCAGGGAAAGTAGAACCAACTTTTAAAATGCACACCAGGGCCAACAACCTGGAAAGAGACAAATGGCACTCTTCCCAGAGTGACACATGACAAGACAGAGGCAGAGAGCAAAGCAAGCAGTCAGGGGGAACCATCAGTACCAAGTCCATCACCTCAACCTTCCATAAGACACCCAATCTGGGATCACTTACCCCAACATCAGTTCTTCATGCACTACCCTATTTAGATATTCTCAAATAGCCCCTGCCTTACCCAACCTCTGGCCCATGAGTTTTACCTTATCACCTTCCTATGGAGGGACTTTGAGGCAGGGGACCCTGTAGCTACTTTAAGTGGGTCTACTACTCCAGCATTTGCATCAGGGTACAAAGGATACAGTGACACAAGCATTTGGAGAGATCAAATTATGGAACATCTAGACCAAAAATACCTAGTTGTCCTCCGCTACTCGTAGTAGTGCACAGGGCTTCAGAAGGCACAATGCTTTTTGCCTTTTGGCCTGAAGTCGTAGGGTGACATTCTACAAGTCAAGGACACTGGAAGTTTTTATTCTTGAGAAGGTTCCTTCAGGGAGTGACAGATGAGGAAGCAGGCTTTGCCAGAGTGCTTCTAAGACCCATCTGCTTATCCTCCCAGCTCAGGAGACTTTGTGAGCACACAACGCACGCCCAAAGCCAGCTGGAACTGGGGGGAGTCTGATGTGGAGTGATTTCAAAGAAATATAGTTACAGCTCTTTCCTTCAAACAGCCTGGGTGAAGTAGTAAGCTATTTGTGAACTAGAACCCTGTACCAGAAAACATGAACCTAGGCACAAGCCTGTGAGCAGCAGGGCCAACTCTGTCTCACTGCATAGCAGACTTCATACAGAGGGTGTAAAAACAGAAAAATGTATTAGGAGGTAATGCATGGCCTGTTTCACTGACAACCAAAACCACTGAAATTCCATTTTTCACCCATCAAATTGGCCAAATTTTAAAAGAACGAAAATCTGAAGAACTGGCAAGTATACATAGCGGGGGAACCCTGACATTCCAGAGGAGAGCAATCTGGGTCAGTCTTCTGGGAAGCTGACTGGAGGAATCCATTTACATTGAAATTGTATGTAATCTTTTCCAGCACTGAAAATTACTTATTTAGAAGCTGCTGGGTTTCCTCAGAAGAATGGCCTCAGAGTTGCTCTTACTTGCAACTGGTCATTACTATTTTAGCTGTTCGGCTCAGAAATGGGGCCCCTCTTGCTGACTTCAGCTTAACCCACCTGGTAACAGATCCTACTGCGTGGGCTCATTTGCCACACTGATCCCAAAGTCCCAGCATCCCAGCCCAGAGCAGCAGACATTAAGGCTTTGCTTCTCAAAGACTGAGGTGGCTCAGTAAGCACAACCCTGCTAAGCACCTAGACAGCTGACAAGCCTTCAAGGAATGGCCTATCATAAGCTAATCTGCACCTTTTATCCAGGGATGGAAGTGTGTCTTAGGCGGACAGAGAACACGGATGCTTGTTTTCGATTCTAATGCCCTGGGTACTTGTGTGTGAGCAGTGTAACACCCATGGTCAGCCTGAGGCCCAGGGGTCCTGAGGGCACTCGGGGAGTCCCGGGGCAGTGTGCTTCGGCATCCCAGCTTCCCGGCATTCCGGCTTCTTCTGGACAATCTCAGTTGTTCACCTGCCACATCCCACCAGCACCAGCTTTGCTGAAGACTGTTGATGGCCCAATGAAAAAAGGCTTGGAAACTTTTTAAAAGCCTCTTTGGTGAACCAGAACAATCACATCATTTGTCAGGAGTGCCCTTAAGGTGCACTCTTTTTGAGGCTCAGGACTCAGAAACCATGGGGTTCAAGTGGGATGCCTGATCTTCAACGCGTCCATCCCACTTTTTGTCTGTCCACCCGAGGAAGATGTGCGCATGTGCACTCATACATACAAGGAAACACTGATCCTAAAAGTGTATGAACAGACAAAGTCCACCTAGACACTGACTACATAAGCTTTTACAAATATAAATGCAATATTAGACAGGCATCAAGAAGAATTAAGTTAATCTCAATTAACATAAAATGAAAAAAGTTGCAAACCCATATGTATACTAGGACAGAGTTGCATTTAAGACAAAACAAGCCCTGTATTTCTATGGATACACAACTGCACTATTAAACGGTGACTGGCTAATCTTATGCTAATGATTTTCATCAGCAGAATTCAGACTGAATTATTACTATTAGCAGGAGTTCTCCCTAGAAGAAATCAGTGGCTGGGGAGGGAAGGAGAGAGGAATTCCTTTCATCTGTTCTATTTGAAGATTTTATGGGCAGAGAGTTAATTTATGCTTGAAAAAAGTTACACATATTTTAAGCAAATATGGTTATATATAACAATTCATGTACTATGGTTTTGACTACATCATGGGAAACCTGGAGGGCCAGACCCCATGTAAGTGTGGTGGCCCTGGGTGGTAGATCATGAGGGATTTTAACTTTCTTCCTTGCACATCTCTGGGATTTTCCAATGTTCTTTGATAAACACTTTACTCAAATTAAAAATAGACTTTTTTAGTTTTTTTTTTTAAGGAGTAATAGATTACTGTTGGTTCTATAAATCACTGTTACAATCTAGAAGAGCAAGGAAGGTGTTAAGGATAGAAACTCAAAGCAAACAAAAATATAACTTGTTTTCTCCTTGAAAACACTGAACACCAATTTAAGCAGGAAAGTGTGAATTCCCAAAGGTTTCTACCAAAACCACACCCAGCACCTCTCCATCTTAAGACTCATCAGCCACACTGCAAGCTCAGGCCCACTGACCCCCATCCACAGTCAGAACAGAGGGGCGGCTGTCAGTTATAAACACATGAATAAGGAGGCTGCAGGAAAGCAGAAAATGCCTCCATACATGTTCAGTGATCTGTGAGGTGAGAGGAATGTGCTTCTACCCTAAGAATCACGGTAAGCTCACCTCAAAGCATGCTGGTTGAACCCTGACAGTTGGCATCTATGCAGCTGTGTGGGCTGAGTCAGGGGCTGAGCCCTGCATACGGACTCCCCAAGCCGTGAGCACTCCAGAAGCAGTGTGGGGACAACACCCGGAGGCAAGAAGTCTGGGTCTAAGTACAAGCTCCATCACTTACCAGTGAGTTCCTTTAACTAGTAACCTATCTGCCAGTCTTTAAAATGTGGGTAGCAGCACACGAAGGGCAACTGTGAGAGTTCAGGAGGTCACAGGTACGGAAACAGGAGCCTGGGGAGCACTCAACAACATTGGCCTCCACACGGGGGACCCATGCACCATGCAATCCAGAAATCCTTGCGTGGAACCCGCAACCTCCCCTTCCTCTTTCTTATTTTGTTATTTTCATGCTATGACATCTTCATGTCAAAAACACAACAGTAGACAAAATTAAAAGCTTTAGCAATGAGAGTAAGATGCCAAAACGGAAATAATCCTTAGTCCTGGTACCATTCTTCATTACATCAAAACAATCCCTTGAAAAACATTAATCAATGCCCTCGTGTGCAAGGCACAGCCATGGTCATGGTGAAAAGAAAGAGACAGCCCTGCCCTCCTGGTACATTCCCTGTCCCTACACCATCCACCTGTCTGAGCATGTCCTCCAAGCCAGCCAAGCAGGTCAACACTTAAATAAGACAAGGTGCCAAGGACTTGGAAACAAGGCCATGCACATTTCAAGGAAAGGCTCCCCAGCCTCTCCATGCATAGGTGAGCAGTCACCAAGGGGCAGGAAGCCATGGACCAGCAAGGAGTCCCCAAGCAGGGGCACCTCAGTCACACAAGGGATGTGCAGCTGTGCTCACCCCTGGGAGCCCAACAGAGAGGCCAACTCCATCACACCCAGGCAAAGCTCAGAGCGGCAAGCACCCACCACGGGAAGCCCTGCAGGCCTGCCTGGAAGGGCAGAGGCAGCCCCAGTATGTTAACGAGCATACGCCCTGGGGCCACCTTCGTGCCCAAGCAGGTACAGCCTAGACACTGCAGGCCAGCTCAGCTACTTAACAGGGTTGACTGCACCTGCCAGGATGCTCTGCGATGATGGCTGCCATCCCCATAAAAGCCAGCATTCACACACCCCCTCCCACAATTGGCACATTCCCTCACACCAGCTCACACATAATGGGAGAGACAGGGAATGCTCTCCTCACGGCCGCTGGCACACACACTCTGTAGCACAGGTGAAGCACCACCCTGTAGCTAGTCCTTCAAAACATTCACATGCTGGTGCTACTCTGATCATGAAGGTCTGTGTCTGACAGTGACTGCACCACGTTACCAGTTTCATTCCAGTAGGAATTTTGCTTACCTAAAGCTCAAATGTGTAGATTTCATGCTCTCCCCGATATGAAACCGCTAACCACATAAAATGGAAGTTAAGAGAGGATGAGGAGGAACAAAGCTTTTTGGTGCACTTATAAAGCTTTTAGAGGATAATTCTGAGTTCAAGTCAATGATTGAAAGAGTGCAGTCACTGAGGCCCAAAACCATGTTTATATAAAGAAAAATACTGGACATGAAATCTTTTCCTAACTTTTAAAAGAGCCATACTTACATTTTTGACTCCTGTCCCTAGAGTAGACTCTCGACCATGTGCCCTGGGAAGTAGAGCATGCAGTGAGCATGTCCTTGTGTGCAGACAGCGCGCTGCATTCACTGCACGTGTAGCCGTTGCTCCTGGCTGCACCTGCTGCCAGGTCACCATTTTCCTGGATGACAGCTTTATTTCCACCTGAAGTTTTCAAACAGTAGACAGCACCTGTTTATCATGATCTGAAGACCTAACTAAACTTCCATCTTGAAAAGTGTGGGGAAGAAAAAGGACTAAAATAATTACCTTTAAGATCTCCATCATCATCAAGACCTAAAAAACACACATACATAAATTTTTGCTGATGAGCTCAAAAGACCAAAATAGAACAAAACCTACAAAAAAAGTAAAGGTTAAATGGTTCATAAAGCAGCAGCATTGCATTGGTCAAGATTTATTTCCTGAAATGCATACAATTAATGGAAATTTCATCACATAAATGCACACAGTATCTTCATTCCAGGTAAAGCACCTCTCTGGAGAAAATAGATGCATGTACACACACGCTGACCTACAGAACTGGCAGAAGGAGCCCAGCACAGAAAAGAGCCTGCTCCTCAGCATGCGCACACTGCCGGAGCCTCAGAAAGTTCCTAAAGCTGGAGCCTCAGCAGCAGCACCATTTGCTTCCCCCACTCCTGTGGGCTGAGCAAAACAGAGCAAACACAAATTCCAACACTTCCCAAATCAGCACACAAAACTTTCGGAACTCATCTGGGTCTTCTGTCTTCTCAAAGGACTGACCAGACATAGTAGACAAGAGCAAGCAGCTCTGTGCCTGTAAAAGCTCACACCCCACACTGCGAGCACCAAGGCAAGGGACACACCGTTGTTGGCTTGAGTGTTTCCTAGTGTCAAAGCATCTACACTGGGCGCTCTCCAGTGACTCAAAACTACTGTGTCTGTCCCTCTGCCTTGCCACCTAGAGCTGTCTGCAGCTTGAAACCACACTGGTGCATTTTCTCAATGACTTTACTTAAACATCCCATATAAGTACCGCCTTCAGAAAACAGGTACCAGGTTACTACCTGGTTCCTTAAAATCTCCCAGGCCCCAACAGAGCTTCCACCATCACTGGAGCTCCTTCTGCCCCATAAGGGGCAAAGGGCAACAGGCGCTTCCCCAAGCCACCTGAGGAACACCACTGCGAACAACTCACCCCAGAAGTGGTCCACTTTGGTCTGCTCACGGATCAGAGACTCATCCAGCATGGGAGGCCGAAGACAAGCCTTAGCCTGCAGCCCACTAGAGCCACTGTGGCCAACGGCCAAGGATGTGACCTTTGTTGAGGTGTGGTTTACACCAAAGGCTGGTTTGCTGGCACTTCTGCCCTGTTTCACTGTTCTAAAAAAGAAGGAATAAGAAGCAAGTTTATAGCCTTCTAGTAAATATATAATGATTACATCTTATAACATAGAATCTTTGCCCGAGAATAAAGAATTTTTAAGGCAACATTTTCTTATGTCTTTTCTGCTGTAATGAAACATCTATCATCTAAAAATGGAATTCTTAAGCTGGGGTCTAAGAACTCCTTCTAAAATGATATACCCTAATAGTTTTTGGATTATTTTGGGCCTCATGATCCAAAAGTGTTGTTAAAACTTTAGTAGCCTAAGAATAAAAATGACCTAAATGTAAGAAATTATTATTTATAATCATAAGCCCTCTCCTGTTAAATAAGTACTGCACACACATATACACCCACACTATTCTTCAGTCACTGGTATGAACAGAATTGCATTCAGCAGAGTGAGGAAAGGTGTAGCCTGAAGTAATTTCTGCACTCGTATTCACCACAAGTGACAGTGCCCTTGAAAACACATGCTTTACCAATGTGGTGCAGGCCAGGTGGGGACAGACAGGCAGAGAGAAGGCCCTGGGCCTTCTCAGGGAACGAGCCACAGGTGAGAAACAGGTGGCAGCGACATGGCACCAATGAGCAGACGCACTATGAAACCTGGTCCCAGCAGTGCCAGGAGCAGAGAGCAGCCTCCTCACACAGAGCCTCTGGCACCATGCCACACAGCACCGAGGGCATTCTGCTGCATCTTTGGGAAGCACAGCGTGGAAATCTCCACAACCAAGGCCCGGGGATCTGCTCTCCAAGGTGGCTGCCCCACCGACGGGTGGGCACTACTACGGAGCCAGCTCCCAGCCAACCTGCTGTCAGCACGCCACCCTCTTGAAGGGCACCGCCCCTACTCCTGAAAGAAGACTACTGGGAAGACAGCAGAGAATACAGAAACTTGTCATTCTCTCGTGAGCCACAGGGTAAAGCTGTGTTTTTATTCTCCATCTCACACTTCTGCTGCTTCTTGGGTAGAAGTGGTGATGGGCACATGAAGTTCAGAAATGATGAGAACTGACAATCATGAACACAGATTTTTAACACAGACTGCTTTAAAAGGTCAAGTACACTGCCATGTGAGGACCCGGGTAAGCCTCCTCCCCAGGCACAATACCTGGTAAGACAGCTGGGGCCAGTTCCTACTACAAAGGTGTACCATCTAGGGTCTGAGCAAAGAGAGAATGGGAAAACCCTAACTTGCAGACACCGTACAGTCCAGAACTAGTCTCAACCCTTATTATAACAAAGCTGTGTGTATTGTGTGTGTGCACACCTGCCCTGAAATCAGGAGTGTAGTTTTACCAACAAGCTGTGTGCCGGTTTCAGCTGGCACTACAACACACGAACCAGGGAAGCAGCACTTACCTGGCTACTCTGTCCTCCAGGGAGGTGGTGCTGCCCACGCAGGAGTGGGCATCCCCAGCCTGGCCGCTGCCAGGGGTGTACGCTGTGGTTACCAGGCGCAAACTGCGGCGGGACATTCTTGGAGAATCAAATACAGGATCCAATTTGTGCTGAGTCTCAAACTCCAGAGCGTCAGAAGAGTAACTTGAACTGGAAGGAAAACAAGCTGGAGGTCAGTGGCACACACAGCACTGCTGCTGAGGCAGAGAGCAAGGAGGAGTGCTGTGCGCACTACAGTGAGCCTGGAAAACTGCATTAACAGGGGGGCTTTTCCACGAAGCAGAAGCAGGCTGCTCCCAAACCCACATTGCTCTGACCAGTGAGATGCTAAGTGGCTCCCCAGGAGCCTGGGTGTTTAAGCTGAGAGCTTAAGAACTGCTTCGGGACCTGCAGAATTCATGCTAGTTCCCACCCAGGGAGAACTACATTACCATTATTAAAACCAGAACACAGTCCCGAACAGCCACCAAGCCTGGTAAGGCAGTTAAGGAGCTGTGGACTGCACATGACATTCCAACTGACACAGCAGGAAGGCATCACAGACTGATGTGAGGAGGAAAAGGAGAGCATGTGATGGCAGCCAAGGCCACCTGGCAACTAACTCACCCCATGGCCAGGGACAAACCTGGGACAAAGGAGTCACCTCAGTGCCTTCCACGGGACTGTCTACAACTAAACAGTGTGTTCTTTTGTGTTGTTACCAAGTTTTTCCTAATGAAGAAACATTAATTGAGCACCTGTGCTGGGCCTCCAGGATGGGATTATACCCCCTGGCCTGCGCAGGCTGTGCCGATGGTACAGAGGAGCCCACAACCCCATGGGGCAGAGAAAGGGGGCAGACAAAATGTGGTGAGACCAGGCCGGGGGAAGAGAGGCTGTGCCTGGGGCGCTACAGGAGTGCAAGGAGACAAAACAGAATCCGTGGCAGAGAGCGGGGCTTGTAACATCCCCCACAGTGTGTCCACAGGAAGGCATGCACACAAGGCACAGAGAAAGCAGCTCCTGCTGGCCTGAGGATGTGGAATGCACAGTTGCCAGGATGTCTGAGTAAAGTAAATGGGCTTAAGAACATTTCTGCATTGCATTCTATTTCTAAAAATATTTTCAGAATCAAATTCATCTTAAATGTTATGAGATCTAACACTAAAAAATGTTCAGTAAACCAATTTTAAGTTGATACAAATTACTCCCAGTTCACATGCATTTGATGCATCCCATTCAACTTAAGACCGAGGTTTCTCACCTTCAACTGAGAGGCCGGAGTGGGGGAGGAAGATGCCACACCGACCCCCCCACAGAGCTTGTAGTAAGAATGCTAAGCAAACATGACTTTAGTGTAACCTAAAATATGGTTAGTTTTCTTCCCAAAATATTTGGTACGATTATAATTTCAGTTAAAGAAAACTAGTATTTCAAATCAGAATTTATCATGTACTAAAGCCAATCACCCTACACCATCATGCTCCTCCTCTCAATCCAGGTGCTGGGTCTGCCTGCCTCCGTCTAAGCCCCAAACCAGGTTGACTCTGAGGGTTCAATCTAGACGAATATGCAAACATGCAGAAAGCAAGCTGCTGCCCACAGTGTAGGGAACAATCACCAGCCCTGCCCCAGCCCTGGAGGCTCCAGCTGGGGCCACTACAGCACTGCCATGGTCCAGACCCAGGCTGCCCAGCACAGAACTAGGAATGCCTTCACTATCACACAGGTGTTCAAGGACCTGCTAGTTCGATTAGAAAGAGCACTGGGGCAAAGCCGGTACAGGACGTCTGCCACAGCCCATGGCAGGGCAGTGTTCAATGAACCTGAGACTGGTGCTGGGGAATGGCAGGAGGCCACCACAAAGCCTCAAGGTCTTCCCAGCCACGCTGTCAGATGAGGAAAAACACCACTCTAGCCTTGCCCTACGGATGTTAGGCCATACAGCAAACTACACTTTCTCTCACACACACAGATATGTAAAAGCACAAAGAAGATCTGGAAGGCTCTCTTCAAACTGGGGCCCAGAGAAGGTGGGGCCTGGCACCACCACGTTGGCTATAGTGCTTAATGGGAGGATTAGTGGCAGGCAGGGATCTGTGGCTGGGCTCTACTTTGAGGCCGGCATTGCTTCATCCCACTTCCACCCAACAGTGCCCACCAAGGCACGCTCCTCTGTCTCGCTAACTGGACCCTGGGCAGCAGCAGGCTGTTGGGGGGCAGTGTGCCAGGCGGAACATGCCATCCAGACCCCTGCGACACTGAGTTCAGCCTCATGTTATCAATGAACGGCCTGGTCACTGTGAAGAATACAGGGCAAAGCAAGTCGCTGACCACTCTCAGCCTGAGCAAGCCCTCTTGGCTCAGGATTGCTCATCTACACATCTCCTGCCAGTGGCAGCCCCATAAAGTCCTAACTGCCCCTGCATGGCATGTCCTCCACCCCGGTGGCTCTTCAGCCTCAGGGACTCAGTCCCTGCCCGCTGGCCTATCGCAGTCCGCCCAATGAGCCTCCTGCACCTGTACTAGGCTGCCAGTCCTCTGCCCAAACCTCTCCTCAGGCCCACTTTCACCACCCTGACTCCCTGATCTGGAAGGCCCTGCTTCTTTATATGCAGAAAAACAGCCGCCATCAGAGCACTGCCTCCAGCTCTCAGACAATGACAAAACACCCATGTGCTCTGCACCCTCTCCCGCTGCCTGGGAGACTGCAGACGATCCCTGCCCTCCTCTCCTCCTCTCCTGCATCCTCTCCAGGGCACCTACCATCAGCCTCCAGAGCCCACTCTCTCTTTCCACAGTAACCAACAAGCAAAGCCGCACCCTGCCCTACCCTCCCATCAGCCCAGTCTACACTCACTCAACCCACTTCATTGTGACTTCTGTCCCAGTGGCTGCCCGGCCTTCCGGCAGCATGTAGCTCCACTGACTCCTCTCCATCCTTGAAGTCCCCTCCTGTCTTGGCTCCCGAGGCAGATTCTGCCAGTGCTCACCAACAGTGGCTTCCCCACCTTTCCTTCCTGCTGGCAAACTGACCCCCACCAGAGCCTGGAGAAGTCAGACATGCTTCCCCAGCACCCCCTGCATCTAGAGTGTGGGCATGGAGCTGCACCTAGTCCCACAGCCTAGGAAGGCCTCCAGAGGGCTTCTGGGGAAAGGCTACCCCTGACCATGGCAATGCTCACCCACAGTTGCTCATCCATCAGTGAAAAGCTGATGAGACTTGACGGTCAACAATCAAGCTGACAAACACTCACCACTACAGGAGAGACAGGCGGGCCTCAGGGCCCTCCTACCAGAATGTAACAGGAAGTCCCTCCCCTTAAGTAGTCATGACAACATGTAAACAAACAACTTGGAGACGACCCAACCAAACTACCACCTTGTAGAGAACACCCCCATTAATACTTGAGATATATCACCCAAATAGAATGTGAGAATCCTATTTAGGCTGATGTTTAAAAAATGAGGATCTGGAATTGGAGCACTGACTAAAAATCTGATGTATTAAGCAGGGCTTTTTTTGGTGTGTTCCTGGTATTCTGGGTAGTTGTTTTTAAAATAACATTATGTTTTCAAGATGGTGGGGGTTTGGGGGGTGGGTGGCCAAGTGCTTGAAACCAAGCAAGCTTGTTGCTGTCCTGTAGTCACACACCTAGACATTTTCCACAGCAGAGAGACACTGCAGTTTCAAAAATGGAATGACCATAGAAGCCACAGGGCATAAATCTGCAAAGAAGTAAAAAGCTAACCTTTTCAAACAATATGGCTTCTCTCTCACTTACCAACTTTACATTTCCCTGTATGGCCCCGGAAGATGACTGGTTAGCCAGAGATGGGTAAGATTCCTCAAGGGAGGAACAACCTAAGACAGGCACAGTCGCAGGGGGGCCATCAGGTGAGAAATTGGGGATCAACAGAGGTGAGGCT